TGAGTGGGGAGCATCTTAGAATCTGTGTAGCACTACAGTGAAATTCTAAACACCATTGTGGCTACAGCCTACAAATTTTGATATATATTTACATCTCAGTAAAAAATTCCAAGTTTGCCTTTCAGATTAAGGATTTCAGTACTTAAAAATGTACTGAGACCTGTTTTATAGCCTAGCATCCTACTCTGGCTTGGTAAATGTACCCTGTGCACTTGAGAGGAATGTATGTTCTTCAGTGGTTGCCAGTAATGTTCTAGAGATAGATATCAACTAGGTCAGGTTTGGTTGACAATGTGGCTCCGATCTTGTAGGATCCTCTGCCCCTTATACAGTTGCTGAGTGGCAGTGTTAAATCTCCATCTGTGTGGAACTAGCCAATTCTTTCTTTTTGTTAGTTCTTTGTGTAGTTTGAGGCTCTTTTAAGATAATATGTGTGTATATATATATATATTTGAGTCAATCCTTTTATTATTACCAGTTGTCTTTATCTCTGTTAATACTCTGACTTGCAGTCTACTCCCTCATCCCCACCCCCTTTGGGCTTTCGCTTACAATATTTAGAACATTTGTAGCCATTATTTCTCCAGAGGCTTTCTGACTTGTTTTTGCCTCATTTCCTCCTCTTATAGACACCAATTAAACATGTATTACACATTTTGATGTTGATTCACAGAGTCATTGTTTCAGTCTTATTTTCTCTCTCAAGATTGAACAGTTTGATTCACTTTCATTGTCACTTTGCTTTTATCTTCATTCTGAAGTAAATCCATTTGGTGAATTTTTGTATTTTAGATATTTATTTTTCAGTTCTGTAATTTCTGCTTGGTTCTTTTGTACTTTCTCTGCTGAGATTTCCTGTCTTGCTTCATTTCAAGACTATTTTCTATCTTGTCATTAAGGATAGTTATAGTAGTTATTTTTAAATCCTTCTCTGTTAATAAGACATCTGTGTCATCTCAGGGTTGTACTTTTGTTTTTTTGTCTTTGGTACTGGAAATTGAACTCAGGACCTTGCGCTTGCCAGTCAGGCACTTATGCCACTGAGCTATATCACCAGCCCTCAGGGTTGTACTTTTTTTTTTTTTTTTTTTTTTTTTTTTTT